GTAGCAGCCTTGTACAACAATTTTTATTCTTGACTACTTGATCTGCCATTTTTGTGAACTGGTTGGGTATGAATTGTGAAAAATCACTAGCATTGGTTTTGTTTCAGTACCATGCATACTTAATTGCTAGATGTGATAGTGCTAGAGCTCAGTTGCTAGAATGTGAAGAACTGTCCCTGAAGAATAATCACGAGTGAGTCAAAAGCCTATGGGTAAGAGTGAGAGTTAGAGACTGGGGCAACAAAGGAAGCCTTGTGGTTGGGGTCTCCTACAGGTGTCCTGATCAAGCAGAGCCTGTTGATGAAGCCTTCTTCCTTCAGCTACAAAAGGCATTATGATCACAACTTTTGTCCTTTAAACAACCTTTCAGCAATCCTGACATCTGCTGGAAAAGTAGCACAGCAGGGTGTAGGTGATCCAAAAGGCTCCTAGAGTGTATCAGGGATGACTTTCTCAACCAGGTAATAGACAACCCCCCCTCCCCCCCACCAGGGGGATGCAGTGCTGGACTTGTTGATCACCACTGATCAGTGACATCAGGATTGTAGGCTGCATGGGCTGTAGTTACCAGGCAGTGGTGGAGTTCTAACTCTTGAGGGATATCAGACAGGCAAAGAGTAAACTCAGGAAAGCCAAATTCCAACTCTTCAGGGAGTTAGTCAACGAATCCCCTGGGAATCTGTCCTCAAGGACAAGGGAGCGCAGCAGAGCTGGCAGATCATTAAGGAAGTGCCCTTTCTTTAGGGCACGAGAGTTCTCCATCCCCAGAATACATTTTCCCCCCTTTAGTCCTCTAATAAATAAGAATCCATTCCTGGCATCCTGCAATAGAACATGTGGCTCTTCTGCTACATGACTAGAGCAGCCCAGCTATTCAGACTTAGTGTGAAGTCTAATAGTACTGGCACCAGATAGCTGGAACAATCTGACTAGTTCAGATAAGGATATAAGAGAAGCATGTTTCTTGACACTGGAAGACAAATGAAAAAGTAGAGACCTTAGGAAGAATCACAGAATCACCAAGGTTGGAAAAGACCTCCAACAACATCCAGCTACCACCAGTATTTTCCCACTAAAGCAAGTCTCTTCATACAACATCCAAACAATTCATGAACACTTCCACATATGGTGACACCACCGCCATACTGGGCAGCCCATTCCAGCAGCTGACAACTCTTTTGGAGAATAAATTCTTAATATCCAACTTGAACCTCCTCTGGTGCAACTTGAGGCCATTCCCTCTAGTCCTGTTGCTATTTATGTGGGAGAAAAAAGCAACATTAAATGCTTATCTAAAAAGTTTATATGAAACTACAAGTGCAAATACTAGAAAGTCCAAAGTTTAAACTTCATGCATCTAAGCCTGACAGTTCCCCATTTTTGCTTCCTCTTTCTTGTTGAATTTGGCTCCTTGTCTTACTATCCATCACATACTTTAACTAACTGATTACTTCTGTTCATTTCCTTAATGACCGTGGTTACATTACTATATATGTTATTCAAAAAGTCTTAGCACAATGGGAAAAATGCAGTGCAAAAGAGTATTTGGAGACCCATTAATTAAGATAATCTTCTGTACATAGAAAGATCCATGCAAGCAGCTTCTAGCCTTCCCCTGTCCTGGACAGGGGATAGCTGGAGGTACCATCAATTCTAGCCATCATTTTGAAGGCTTACCCTCGTTTATAAAAAGGAGAGGCAAAAATCGAGAGGACCTAAGCTATTCTGGGACAAGAGACTGCAGGATTTGTTAGGCATTATACTGTTTCACTGCACTACTCATATTCTGCACTTCCCCCCAGACACACTTAGAATGTAACAGCTTTGAAAGGAGCCATCAGTAATATACCAATGGGCTTACAAGCTCTGGCAGCTGTTTGCACAGGGTTTGCAAGAAGGTCAGAGGAATATTGCCAGAGAAGCTGAATTCCAGATGAGAGGTTAGGATGGGAGAAAGGAATTTTTCAGATCTTTGATTCGTCTCCGTCACCTTCAAAAAGAAAGGAAATTTCAACTGGCATATGGGTGAATGCACTGCATTAATAGTAGTAAGGCATTCCTAAATGTCATCTGTCTACAAAAGAATAGCCCTCAAAGTTATTGATGACCGTGGATACACCTTCTTCAGCTAGCAGCGTGTTGCATTTTTCTCACTCAGGGAGATTATGACAACTGCTCTTCTGATATGGCCCATGAGTGAATGAACACCATTTTAATGGACTACCTGCAGTGGAGAACCAGCACAGATTTGCACTTCCAAGCCCAGCAGGTAGTGAACTCTAAAAAAACATTTCATACTGGCCATGAAGCATCCAGCACAGCTGCAAAGTTGAGGTGACGCAAGGAGAGAAAAATTCTCTGTGAGTACAGATCATGTTATGCAGCCAGCTGCTGATAAAATAACGGGTTTCTGCTGTAGTCTGCTATTATCTGTGGGGTGCTAAAAAATCCTCCCCTCAGGATTTTAAGTTTCTCTCTTCATGACTGTAGTTAATGACTGGACTCTATGGGTGTTCCATGCTTAGTGATCGAATATCCCTGCTGATAACATGTTGGTCTTCTAATAAATAAATAAATAAATAAAGGCATAGAATTGTAGAACTCTATGGAAAAAAAAAAAAAAAAAAGGAAAAAAAAAAAGATGTTTTTTCATTGAACTTACTTCCAGGCAGTTTCTGAAGTTAATTGTTGTAATCCTAGGACTATACAGCAGGTATTATCCATGATCCAGTAGTCAGAAAAGAACAAAATCAATTATTCAATATCATCCTTAAATCAATGTTTTGCCCTTGGGAAACATATACAAACATTGCTGCTAACTTTTGTCCTATTAAACAGGAAGATGTGTACATCCTAAAAATTCAGTCAACGTGAAGTTTTATTTAATGTTCTTTTGTGGCTTTAGTTCTAGGAGTCTGTTAGACATAAATGCTGGAAATATCTAGTAAAATCTGTCTGAATCCTTAAAATGAAAAGTATCATACAATTCAAATAACTGGTGATGAATCTTCATATTAAAGAGCTATCAGCCATAAAATAGAGTGCATAATGGAAAACGTTACATTCCGTTCCTGTGTGTGATAGAGCAGCTCTTGCCTTGAGAATTATCTTCACATGAATTTCAAGTCAAACTTCAGCTCTTGGATTGCAAAAGAGAAAGTCTCAACTAAGCAGATTTGAACATCTTATCTCCAAACTTTTTTGATGGTGCTATAAAGTGTTTTCTTTGTCAAAAACACATCTATATTTCCAATCATAAATACATTTTGACTTCATTTCTTTCTCCAGAAGATCTGTTGGTAGAAGAACCGGTTGCTTTAAATTCTCTCCACACTTACAGTTGTGGATTATTCTGGTGATTGCTGAGAGGAGTGATGTGTGATTCTGAAGTGCTGAATTATTTCAGAAACATACTTGCCAACTCCTTTTATCACCTTCTTAGAAAAAAAAGAAAAAATTATCCTCAGTAGAGAGCTGGGAAAACTAAAGAATATTAAAAAAAAAAAAAAAAAAACAAACCCAACAGATTCTGTTACTCTGGAGGCGTGGGTTTTTTTTTCCAAAAAAAAATGAAGAATTAGTTGTGGTTTGTGTTATACACATAGATATTTTATAAATCAGCTTTTACAAGAATATATCTGCAAACATAGCTCTTGGTCCCATTAGTGCTTAAGTCTTTTTTGATGTTTGGTGTTTTATTTTGTTATGTCATTCTGAAAGAGGGTTGCAACAAGTAAGAAATGCGGTTGAAGGGGTTGATGCAGAGAGGCTAGGGCTGCCACTCACTTAGGTTGACCCTGACCTGGGCTGACACCCAACTGGGCTGGCTGCTCAGCATTGTATCCCACTCAGGCAGTTTTAAGAAAATAGTCTTGCAGCCCAGTTCATGCTTCAAGATGCACTGAAGTGCATCAAGTTAAGTTTTCAGCTAAACTTTCCCTACCCTAGTCTCAAGAGGAGAGGAGATTAAAATCAACAGGAGCATTTTTGCAAATTTTAGAGGGTATTCCATCAGTCCTTCTGTCTCCAAGCCTCATTTCTCTGTCCCCTCTGGATGAGTTTTCTTTTTTGTTTACCTTATACATATAATTCTCGGGAAGAGACTAGTCATTAGATGCTCATAGTGATTAGCACAAGGAGTTACATAGGACTTTTATATATGTGGCTGTATATAAATAAGTAAAGGCAGTTGCCTTCCATGTGAGCAAAGAATCTTCATGTGCTGTGAATTTGCCAGGTCTACATTGTTTCTGTAAGAAGCCATTCTAAATCAATAAAAATAATCTTCTCCCTGAACTTGATTTTAGGTTTCTGGGGTAGCTTGAAAGTGTAGCTTCTGGAAGCTGTCGGAAATCTTAACAAAAATAGCAAGATACAAGACTTAGACTAAAATGTCATTATTTTAAAATCATTATGATCATAAAAGGAACTAAGAACATCTGAAGAGCAGACATCTTCACATTATTTCTAACAGAAATCTTGAGATAAATTGAGAGGATTCCAAAAACAATCCCTGCCCCCAGATGTTCATCCAGAGAAGATTCTGCTGCTTTTCCACATCCAGCTGCCACCTGCTTATTCTCAACTGGTTTTTACTGTTGCCTTTCATTCCTGCTAGTCCTTTGGTTTGTAAAAGTTGAGAAGAAATTAAACACTTCAAAGGAAGTAGAATCTGTATTATGAAATATATGCTGAGATTGCCCTAAAACCAAGAAGCTACATTACTCCACAGCAGAGCTGTGAATTAGCATGCATGCTGACGGGAGCAAGCATGTCTGGTCGTTTCTTTGTCTGGTCAGGCACTGTGCTATGTGGATCTCAATGACAACAGAGCACAGAGCCTTCTGGAAGTCACAGTGTTTTTTGCCTACTTCTTATATTGCAAACCTGTGCATGTGCTTACTTTTATTTTATTTTTTTTAATAATTTTTCCATACCTATTTTTCAGTTGACGTATTTTCATTTCCATTTGTTCATTTCTGGCACTATTGTGTTTTCAGTTGATTTTATAGGCGGACTTGACACATACTCCTACCGACAGCCCCCCCAGGAACATGTTGAGTTAAAGCCTGTAAAGCCTGTAGGTAAGGTTCTGGTCCTGTGGACCACATTAATCCTTCTAACTGGACTGAAAGCTAACCTTCTCCTGACATAATTTTGGCATGAGGTTACTAATAATTTAATTATACTTCAATTAGAACTTAATCAAAAATTAATCCACATAAAACATGCTAGTAAGGTCACTATGTCATTGATGACATGTTTGCTAAGGCGAGGATTAAGAGATAGCACCGTGTCTGCCATGTTGTGTCTTGGCTTAACACAAGGAAAGGCTCACAGTGAAGGATGGCAATGCTTCCCTGCTGACTTTTTAGCAAGAAGAGAGCTGATTTATGGCTGATGCTTCATAAATCTTAATGAGATTAACCCACTTATGGAAAAACAGAAGCTTTTTACATTTGGCCTGAGACTGAGAGAAAAATGTTTGCAGAAAAACTGTGTCAGCTTAAAATCTGTAGTTTCACAGCGACTTCATTATCTCTTTGTTGTCAGTTATTTGCTCCCGCCATGGCAATCACAGTTTTCATAGGCATGTCCTACAAAATGTTCTTTGTTATCTGATGATAATTTTGGGTACACTTATTTGCATTTTAGTTGGAGTAAATTAAAGGACAGGGAAGTACTATCAGTATTTGAAAGAAGATCTGATTGCCTCAAGTAGATGATATTTCATTACATTATTGTTAAAATAGAAGATACTCATTTGGAAATTCTTTGATGTATTTAAGTAGTTACATTGAAGCCTTCTATCTTTCCATTTACCTTTGGTCCTTTCAAGCTTCTTAAATGTAATACCAAATGACTGCAGATAAATGACTGAACTTGATTTAACAACTTTATTGGTATTTTATTTACCAATCAAGATAATTAGAGACTGAAGGTTTTTCCTCGTGTATGCATATGTGCATGTACTGGGAGTCAATCTAAAGAGGCCAATTGCTAACAAAGTGTTTTGAGTGTCCACTTGAACTTTGCTTGAGACTTCACTAATATTTGCATGCTTTTAAAATACATTTTACTGGTGCCGTAGCTTTCAGTTTATAGGAATAAACATGGACAAAATTTCATAAAATCGAGTGGATGAATATTGTAGGATTATGAATGCCCCAAAATGAGAAAAGCCTTATCTCAATGTGACAGTGCATGTTACAACAGTAAGAAATATCACGTTAAGACATTAAGACAAAATAAAATAACAAGCTGTTCAAGGTGGCATTAAGTATATCACTATGTTGGAATCTGCATTTACATAATATTTCATTTGATGCTGATTTTAATGCATTTTCTTCGGGAAAAGTGACAGCAGAAGGAAGTTTTGACCATTCTTAAGAAGATGTTTGAGACTGAAAAGAGTAATTGTTATCTATGAAGAAGAAAGCCACAGATACAGTATTTACTCCTCTCCATCAAAAATGTTAGTCTCTTTAATTTTAAAGCTGGTGTGAGGTTAGATATAAAACAGTATGTGAGCAAAATTACTGTAATTAATGGAGATAAACATTTTGAAGAAAGATTTATGTGTACATTCCTTCAAAAGCCGTTAGTTTTTGTACAAAAGTCACAGACTATGAGAATTTATATTATTATATATATTATGAGAACTATTTGATAGCAGATTTAGGTTAAATAGCTCAAAGGATCTGGGAGATGCTGGTGAGCCTGCAGTACTGGAAAATAAATAGCATCTTCCCATTTCCCACACATGGGACAAACAGAAGCGGAATCTTTTCCCTGAACCATGCAGTTTCCAATTAAAATATGTGGAAGGCAGAAGGGACAAAGGGAGTGGGAAAAATTGTGTTCTTTTTGAGACACATGACACATAGGCTGTAAAGAAGACTGTTGTGCCTTCAGTTTTGTTTGCTTCAAACACAATATCAACAGCCAGGTAACTTGATACTAATTAAAGTTTTTTCTATGTACTGCTAAATGGAAAATAGAGAAACGTGTGAACAAGAAAAAAAAAAAAACCACAGAACGTTGCATTTTAATTTTGCTTGAGTTTCTTCATTATTACCACAATGTTTTGAAGAAGTTAAAAGTGTTGCATTTTGGCTTTCACTTTTTTTTTTTCTTCTTTTTTTTAATCTTTATTAGTGAGTTTCACTTTACATTACATTCACTTTACATTACAGTGAGTTACACTTTGCATTACCATCATTTTTGCTAGGGTGAGTAGGTCTGATCCAGTGCTATTCTAGTTGTAGGCAACCCTGTCTGGACACACACAGAGTTCCCTAATTCCAAAGGAGAAATTGCATTACTAGAACTGTTACTAGCTTGTGAGATTCACAAAGTGTCTGAGAAACTGTCAATTGAGGGGTTACCAAACCTATCAATTGGTGTCCTGCCCAAATCACATCCTCTCTTGAGAGTCAGTCCACCAAGGCCATCACAGAATTTCCAAGCTTGCACAAGTGAACATGGCTTACAGGCAGATGTGAGAATACATAGATTCAGCAGGCACATGAATGTGTGAGTCCAGCTCAAAAGTATGTTTGTCATCAGATAAAAATCTATAACCTAATGAGCACATATCTTACGCTGCTAAAATATATTATACTGAAAAGAGTCTATTATTATGTGCACTTCCAGCATTTTTCATCAGCAGCAATATTGTTCCCCGCATTTTTTGCTTTTCAGGTATGCGTAATGCAAAGCTACCACTTTGTATCCAGCTACTCATTCGTGACCTTATATATGAGTCTTACAGCTGAGGAAGCTAGTGATTGGACTTCTTGTTTCATTAGTTATTAACCTGTCAGCTGTTGTCAATTTACATCTAAAAAATTAGAAGAGGCATAGAACAGGTTTTCCTTTGTAAATAATTCATATGTTCTATTTTTTTAGGTCGAACTAAGTAATGAACGTTCACTCAAGACTTCTGCTGTCGTAGCTGAAGAAACAGATGTCAGAAGAAAAGACCAACCTTGTGACTCATCGTTCTGGAAGAAACGCATTGTCCGTTTCTCACAGCGCGTGGATTGTTCTTCCCACAGGCTCAGTGTCATTATCAGCGTTGTTATTTGGTAGATCCTTGTAGATGACTTGAATTTTTGAATGATTTACTTATATGGACACTTGTAAATTGTAAATTTTTTCTTTTTTAATTTTAATATTTTTACAACATTTAATGTTAAGGCATGAAAACGAAACCTGTGAAAACTATGAGAAGGCTGCATCTTCCTCAAGGAAGTCGGTATTTTTAACTGATAGAATCATACTGTGCCTGGTAAAAATCATGTCAGTGATTTGGACTCCAAAAAATACAGCAGGAGTTAAATCCTAATGGTGCAAAGGAGCTCATTTCAGTGCTGTATTTTGAAATTCACAGTGTTCATTGCTTGTTTGTTTTTTTTTTTTTTGAACTGCGGTATGCAGTAGGCGTAGGTCTATGACTCTACTTGACCAGGTGTTCCAGTACAAACGTACTCATCTAATAATTGCAATTCATATATGGCTCCTTCTCCTTCTCTTATCTCTTACTCTGAGCCCATCAACAGTAGCTGTCTCTGATTCAAAGAAAAATAGAATGACCATACAATCTGTGGATGTCAGTCACTAGAAACCCTTAATTCCAGGGTTCTTTAGGTGTCTGTGATTTGCACACTTTTAAACTCTTTTCCTCCCTTCTCCCAGGAAGAAGCCAAGCATGAATGTACAGTATAAGGCACCACCTTCAGCCTTAGAAGCCTCTGGGAAATAATTTTGTTCCTTATTTAGAAGTAAACAAGCAAATCTGAATATGTGTACAAAAATTTGTAAAGTTATTTGTAAATACTTCTAGACAAAGAACATGTATGTAACTGTCGTATTTTGTTTTCTATTCTGTCACCACTAGCATAAAGTGATACACAAAAGCTACTTTCTTTGGGGAACTGGCAATCTTTTTACCAGAACTCTGTGTTTCTTTCTTCTTGATTACTGTTTAAAATACTGTGCACAGTTTTATACACCAGAGTTACATCTCTTCACATAATGTGCCTCAGCATCAGTATAAACTTCATCAGGACTTGGGGGCCATTTCCCTTTTTGTGGTTTCTCATTTTGTGTTTTCTTTGATGGGATTGTCATGAAAAGCATTCTTTCTGATATGTGTGTCTCTGTCTCTCCACTGGAAGCTGAACTAAGGTCCACTAAGTTCTTTCATAAATTTCCTGAATGGTCTTCAGCTAGTAAATTGCATTCTAACAGCTTTCAGATTCTCAGTTTGCAGTCTTTTCTTGAAGCGTGTCTATCCTATCTTTTCCAGTCTGAGCAGATGTGAAATAGATGAAGACTTGCTTTGATTCTTTCCCTTAGATAGTCTATTTGAGTTAATTAGTGATATGAACCTAATGAGACTGTTAATAGAATCTATCGTTTTTAGGTAGAAAGGCTTCTGTGTTCATCCACCTGTTTTCCAGTTAGTTGAACCAAAGGCCTCACCATCTTTGGAGAAAACATCAACTGAATGTGGATTTAACTTTCCCTTCCAGTATGAAGTGTTAAGACAAAATCAACAGAAACAACTGAATAGGACTCTTTCTTAGTATTCTTAGGGCTCAATATACCTCAAACAGTAAGTGTTTTTGTGTAAGGTCAGACTGTGCCAACGCCAGGAATGCTGTACATGAAAATAATGCCATCTGTGATCATGTATTTGAATGTTTCTCATATGCTATTTTCTCATATTTTCTAGACTATTGCAAATTACCAGGTTTGTCCTATCTTGAAGACTTTATCTATTTGAAAAAATAAATATTTGTCACAAAGCTAATATAAATGCTAACAGTTTAGAGGCTTCATGAAGAAGATTCATTGTGAATTTCTTTGTAGTTGCCATATTCTAATAAGGCAAAAAACATTTTTGTCTACTTGTGTAAAGTTTTCCTTTTGCTTAGATTATTTCATTTATTTGTATTATATCTTGAACAACGACAGTGTCTATTCAGCCAGTGCCTACAGCCTTCTGAGTTTGAGATGGCTCCAGAATTTTGGAGACTGGCAAATCTGAGCGCTGTTCAGAGCCAAATGGCTTTCAGGAGTTGCCTTGTTTCACCTTTCTCCATTTCAGAGAGTTCACAGTGTGGGCATCTAGTACTGATTCCAATGATCAATGCAGTTCGCATATGGGCTTTGCATTTCAGCATTAACTTAATGGCATTAATTGTTATGGGTTGGTAGATAAGAGGCTTTTGACTGAATCCAGTTCTACCATGAGGACCAGAGAGGAGAAAAGGGAAGGAGTACTACATCCTCATCATTTGCACACATTCTCCTTCAGAGCAGAATGCGCCCTATTCTGGCAGAGCTTTGGAAGCATCTATTTAATTTTCTACCAAGACAGACATATCTGCTGGATCATGTTTTACAAATTTGTCTGGATATACCTCTTTCTTGCCTTTCTGTTGAACTTCAGATTTTCAGCTTATTGATGAGGAACCATGGGCACACCACAAAAATTCTGCAAAGACAGAACCTGACTGCTTTTCTATCTATCTGATATATTGATCACTTTTTAGCTGGAGAACACTAACTAGCATATTACAAGTAAGCTTAAAATCTTGGAACCCTTACCAGTACAGCAAGTTTCCCATCTGTCTCATTTAGCGAACAGAACAACCCTAATTGAGTGGAATTTGTCTTCATTAGAGCAAGTGAAAATGGACACTGCAATGCCAAGGAAAACTGTCTTTCTTTTCTAAATTGAGACACACAAAAAATAGTACCTAGAAATCTGTAAGTGCTGGGGAAAAAAAAGATCTTGAGAATAATAAATGGATTTGAGTGTTAATTTCTGTGTCATCCAATGAAGTATACATACTGGCTAATGTTTTGGAAGTCTTGAGAAATAATGCTTTTCTAATACATATGCTTTCAGTAAGGTGATAGGTGACTCCCAGATCAACCAGCAACATAAGAAATAAGTGCTGACTTTCTAAATAAGCTTGGATAGTTTTCTTAAATTTAACTGCAATTTGCAATTCAGGAAATGGCTGCATTTTTACTGCAAAAAAGAGTTTGCTCATAAAATTTCAGAGCAGATCATCAGTTGGTATAAGCTGTCCCCTGGTGGAATTTGTGTACCATACCATAGCAATTTATAACAGCTCTAAGATTTGCCCTTCAGACTTTTAGATCTTTTTCCCTCCTGGAAGTCTCTGGCTGATTCAAGTTTACAGATAATTAGATTTGCAGTGGTACTTTTTCTGATAACAAAACTGGACACATGACTGCAAAAAGATGGTGCTACATAATCAGTAAAGATTGAGCCAGGTACCAACAGACTTTTAAAAAGCAGCTGATGTTTTTAGCACCTGAGAACAGGAAATGTATGAAGAAATGTTTGTGAACAGATTTTATCGTGACTGATAAGCCAAGAAGAAGAAGCCAACTATATGCTAGGCTGCATCAAAAGAGGGATGGCCAGAAAGGTGAGGTATGTGATTGATCCCCTCTACTCTGCCCTTGTGATGCCCCATCTAGAGTACTGTGTCTAGGCCTAGGACTGCTGCAACACCATAAAGATAAAGAGCTGTTGGAGTGGGTCTAGAGGACAGCCATAAAGATTATCAGAGGGCTGGAGCACTTCTCCTTTGAAGAAAGGCAGAGGGACCTGGGCTTGTTCAACTTGGAGAAAACTGCAGGGAGACCTCATTGTGGCCTTCCATTATGTGAGAAGAGCTTATGAACAGGAGGGAGACTGACTTTTTACATGATGTGATAGTGATAGGACAAGGGGGAATGGCTTTAATCTAGAAGAGGAGAAATTTAATGTAGAAGTAAGGCTGAAATTCTTTATTCAGAGGAAGGTAAAGTTCTGGAAGAGGTTGCCCATAGTGATTGTGAATGCCACATCCCCTAAGGTGCTCAAGGCCAGGTTGGATGGACCCTGGGCGGTCTGACCCAGTGTCTGTCAACCTTGACCACTGCAGGAAGATGGAACTGATTGATTTTTTATATCCCTTCCAATACAGGCCATTCTGTGATTATATGATAGAGTGATGATATATTAAAATTGCTGGTGTTGCAGGAGACAACATGGTTGGGCTGTTGTCCACAGCTTTTTCTATCCGTAGAGATTTTTGACTCAAAAAAACCTGAACTTATTACATCTTTTGAAGATGAATCGTGATCTTAAGTTGCTCTCTAAAATACAATAGTTTATTGCCTGTATTTGATAAAGGGTCCTTATAGTGATAGAATGTGATACTAACTACTCTAGATGATTTCCAGTAGAGCTGTATCAGTTAAAATCACAGGAATTTTACCTGGTTTTATGTAACATCTGCTTTCTTTCAGTAGTGCAGCAAATTTCATTAAGAAGATGGTATTTACTATATATTGTTAAAATATTAGAGTTTGAACCTAGAGGTATGGGACTTTGTTAGCTTGTCACAAAAATAACTTTTCATTATTAAAACCCTGGGGCAATGCATTTGGGCCACACAAAAGGATTTAGTCCTTCCCCAAGAGTGGCAGATTTTCCCAAAACTAATAGGGGCATCTTTTAGACAGCTTTTAGTGCAAGCTTTCGTTGTTCCTTGCAGCTTCTCAGGTATGAGTCTTCAGTTTCCTCTCTCCATCCAGTTGTCAACTCGAGCATAGCAAAACTTCCATCACCTCCATGCCCCACATGGCTAGTGTGGCCTTTTTCATACTGGCAACTGCTCTGTGCACCCAGCTGTCTGCCTGCCTTTCGTTTGGGGATTATCTGATTTTAAAAAAGCCAGCCCAGCAATCTATCAAGTTCCTTTAACAGCCTTTGACAGCAGCAAACAAAAATTGACATCCCAAACTAATTGGCCTGCCTCCTTGTAGAAGCAGTCTCATCTAGTTTAATTATAACAAATTACAACTTAGGAGCTCTTTTGTACACTGAAGAGGTTTCTTTTCAAATTGGTAAAATGTTCCTTCCATCCAAAACTTCCACATCTGCAAGCTGTTTTTTTTGTTTTGTTTTGTTTTTCTGAAATAAATTCAGCTCCTACCCACTGTGCTAAATGTCTTGTTAGAATCTGGTTCTTTAGTGCCCTAAATGGTGATGACACCATGTCATTTCTGGCCAGAACTGTGGTTTTTACAT